ATTAGACTGACATACCAACAATAGACTGACATAATGTTTACAATGGCCATATCACACATACACCAACATTAGACTGACATACCAACAGTAGACTGACATAATGTTTACAATGGCTATATCACATATAAACCAACATTAGACTGACATACCAACAACAGACTGACATAATGTTTACAACATAATAACACCCACGTGGCATTACACCAGTTCGTTGGACAATTAGGAACGGTTCTTGTTATTGCATTCATTGTCTAAGTAATGACTACTGTGTGGTGTCGTATCAGTTAGTACCATCTCTACTTATCCTTGGGACTAATATGTTCTAGCTCAATAATAAAGAACGGACAAACATGGGTAATAAAATTATACCATACCAGTGCTACTGCCAATCACGAATTGTTGTGATTCATCCATGGTGAGAACATATTTAACAGTTTCGCCATCCTCCGCATCAGTAGCAGTTACAGTCACAATAGTTTCCCCAGCAACATTGTCAGCTGCTACCTCGGCACTGTAGAACGTAGGATTGAATTTAGGAGCATTGTCATTAACGTCAATTAAATACACATAAACTGTCGTTGTAGTTGTCAGCACAGGTGAACCATTATCTGAACAAATAACAACAAGCTCCAGTGTATGAACTGCCTCATAATCTACAGCTTGCTTTAATAGTTATTTCTCCTGTACTACCATCGATTGAGAAATACTCATCTCCTACAGGGAAACTCGAATGAAAGCTGTATGTGAGCTCAGCATTGGTACCGTTGTCAGCGTCAGTGGCATCCACAGTCAATATATATGCGTTAACATCATGATCTTCAGCAATGGTGACACTGTATTCATCTTCATTAAATATAGGATAGTTATCATTCTCATCTTCTACAATAATCTCAACTGTCACAGAAGTAAAAAGTGTGGGACTTCCATTATCAACGGCTTTACAAGTGAACAAATATGACCCAATAAGTTCTCTATCTATATCAGCCGCTGTGATAAGCACTCCAGTCTCAATGTCTAGTATAAAATGATCAGCATTGACACCACTGCTGATGGTGTAGTTCACGAGACCATTGTCACCAAGGTCAGGGTCTGTGGCTAATAAAGTATCCACTAAAGTCGACAATGGCACATTTTCCGCTACGTATAATTTTAAAACAGACTGAGCAAACTGCGGAACGTTATCATTGATGTCAGCTATGGTGATAGTAAAAGTTGTCTGAGCAAACAATGGTACAAGTCCATTATCTGTAACTGTGACTTCTAGACTATAAGAGGCTGTCGTTTCTCTGTCCAATGGCATAACCACGCTCAATACGCCAGATGTTGATGCAAGAGCAAACGTACCTGAAATTAACGAAATATACAATGAAAAGATGTGTTCTGTCTGAACCAGTGATAATATAGATAGGTAAAAATAATGTGTGAAACTTGCCATCATTGCCAGATGTTATGTCATATGTCAACTGTCCATTCTCATTTGCATCATCATCGGTGGCAATAATAGTGAGTACTGAAGTCCCAACATGTTGATCTTCTGATATTGTAGTGTCATAAGATCCAGGATTCACTATGACAGGGGAATTGTCATTTTCATCCACAATGACTATAGTTACAGTGCTAGTTGACGCCAAAGAAGGAGTACCTAGGTCACTAGCATTAACAAGTAAGTGGTATCTAAAAATAACAACAAACGTTATGTAAATCTGTTGTGTCATATTCTCCATCGGAATGAAACAGTTAGACAAGAAACAAGCTGCAATTAACTTAAATGAAAAATATCCAGTGTCATTGAAAGTTAACAGAAAATCATTCAAAACATCTCACAGTTCCTATATACGAGATCTATATGTTTGTTAACAAACTCAATCACAGTGTATCTTACACTGATAATAGAGTTTTCTGATGAACATAACTGTCTATTGACTTATATATACATACGTGTCTTGAACTTCTCGATCCAATATTGGCCCAAAATTAGAGGTATAAATCAACCCCGACCAATTATCAATGTAAAACTGTCCTAATGGATCACCGTCGGCGAGTAGGAACGTAACATTGCCATTTTCATCACTGTCTTCATCAACTACCCATTGTGGAATGACTAAAGTATCACTGGGAGAGTTTTCAAAGATGGAAATCGTTACACCATTGGGAAAAATGACTGGTACATTATCATTATAATCATTGATCTTTATTCTAACAACGGTGTCTGATGATCTCACTGGTGTTCCACCATCAGTTGCTTGAACCGTTAAACTGTACATCTTCCTTGTTTCAAAGTCGATATCTGCAGCCGTCGTGATCTCACCTGTTGCAATGTCAATATTGAAGTCCTCATGACTCATCCCACCTGTGATATTATATTCGATATTTGAGTTAGCACCACTGTCAATATCAGTGGCTATCACAGTAAAGACGCTAGTGCCAATATTAATATTTTCTAGTATACTTGTAGTGTAGATATCCTGTGAGAAGATAGGTGTATTGTCATTAACATCTTCAACAGTGATAGATAGTGTAACTGTTCCAGTAAGCGGTGTGTCCCCACCATCAGTGGCAGTTATTTCCAGGATATATTGGTCAGTTATTTCACGATCAAGCAGCGATTTTGTCAATACATCTCCACTGTAGAGGTCAACTGTAAATTTTTCTTCAGAATTTCCTTCAGTAATGTTGTATGTTACTTTCCCATCAGAGCCAATTGCATCTTCATCAGTAGCTATAGCAGTGTAAATAACACTGCCAATTTCCAACGACTCTGATATAACAATATTATCGGGATCAATACCAAACACAGGTGTATAGTTATTTTCTGGCAAAACATTCACTGTGACAGCACAGTTAGTCGACAAAGACGGGGATCCACGGTCAGTCACATTAAACACAATATCATAAACTGGTGTCACGTGATAAATTAATTGTTGATCCAGTATAAGGTCGTAGTTAGTAAGTACAAAATCATTATTTTCATCACCACTTGCTTTAGTTATAGCTACTTCACCATTGGTACCACTATCGCTGTCTTGTATAACAAGAGTCGTGACTGTTGTTCCGGTACTTTCATTTTCCGATATGCTCACGACATAAGGTTGTGGATCACATGTGGGAGTGTTGTCGTTCTCATCTTCAATTATGATTTCAACATCCACATCAGTAGACAACTGGTCTCCAAGAGCTGCTGTACTATCTGTAGCGGTTACAACAAGTGTGTATGAGGGCACTGTCTCAAAGTCAAAACTTCCAATCACGACAAGCTCTCCAGTTGAATCGTCCAACGAAAAATTATCATCATCATTTCCGGATGTGATAGTGTATTTACCTGACCATGGGGATGTGATGCTAAATCATCATCAGTTGCCGATATGGTGAGCACTGTTACTCCTGTTGCAGTAAACTCACTGATTGAGATATTATATGAGGTGGATTGAAACACGGGGGTGTATTCATTGACTGGTTCTATATCTATGGTGACGAGGGCTGTGGCACTGTTTGCACCCGATGCTCCATTACGGTCTTCTGCTACAACCTCTAGATTAAATAACTGAATTGTTTCATAATCAATCAAACCAGTTGTGGTGATTTCTCCTGTAGCAGAATCAACAGAAAATGCAGTCCCACCTAGTGCAAAAACAAAATAAAATATGATATATTGTGAACTGTTAAGGCCTTTAAGTGTTAAATGTTAATTTAATTGCTAATTTAACTGAATAAGAATTACTTACTTGCAATATAAAGTAGAATAACATTATTATCGTCAGTGATAGAATCAATGTCTGTCACATTCACTGTTGCAACTACCTGTCCTGCTGGCAGTTCCTCCTGCACAATCTCACTGTGAATGCAGTAAAATGTATCTATTAATGGGAGAGCATGCGTAAACTTTGATGCGGTACTTCTGCTGATAATGTACCAATGCCATAATGAAAACATACCCCTAAATAATTATTTTTTAAATATTTTTTCCGTACAGACAACCACATATGCACCATTGATTCAAAGACATTTCCCCCACAGAACCTTGCACATGAAAAAATGGCAATGATTTCAACTTAAGCATTGGGTTTAGTGGGTGCAGCTGGACATCCATTTTCAATTTGTAGAATTTCGCGGTCTTCAGCTGGGAATAATTTTTTTCATATGTTACTGACATTGTCATATTAGAAGCACTGT